CCGTACATCCAGGCCATTGTAGCAGGCTAGTGGCAGCATCTGCCACAAGATCAGGGGTTCCCAGACAGCAAGAAGCAGGACCTAGAAGAATATTATAAGCCAACGAACAGCAGATGCTGAAAAACTGAAACAAAAACAAATTGCTGGAGCAATTGAACAGATCTGGGGCAGATAGATACACATCTGTGGAGAGAAAAATAGAGTTAACTTTTCAGGTCCGCTGAACATTCTTCAGAACACAGAACACTGGGTGCCTCCAGTAATTTTGGTTTTTGCCTGAGAAGAATATTAGCTTGGGCACAGAGTGTATCATGTTAGATACAGCTCTCTGGACATGTTGGAGCTCTAGTGAGGGAGAAGGCTGAGAATGTTCCCGGCAGCTGGTCACAGGCACGTGTGCCATCGTGCAATATGAGCTGGCACTTCAAACCAACAGCCAACAGATGCTGCCTATAGCAGTCTAGGTTACACTAGCCCTAAGTCTATTCAGTCTTGCTCATTCCAGGGCTGAATTGCTGACATTACATGCAGCAAAACCCTCACAGTTTATGGATGCCCTGTTTGCATTGGCAGCAGACTTCATCATCATTGCCATGTGTGCCAGCTGTCCCGATGCCTACATCCTGTGAGAGTCATTCCTACCTCAATTACAGAACCCATCTCCCAGGCGAGTGGCTGATTCCTCAGTGACAAGGGCCACACATTAAGAGAGTTCTCTCCTGAGAACTCCACAGAATGGTGCCCAATGGAGTTACAATGCGAGCCATGTTCAGATATAGACCACCATTGAACAAGTAGTCGGAGCTGCTGGAGATACACCTCAGCTGTTCTGTAGGTGCCTGTCAGATTCTCAAGGACAGTCTCTGTACATTATATCCTGCATAGGATGGTGCAGAGAAGGAGGATGCAAACTGAAGTGTGGGGGAGAGAGGTGGGAGAAGCTGATGAAGGGTCTATGTCAGGGAAGTGTCTCTCTCTTTTGGGTTAGGCATGAACTTTATTGTGAAAACGCATTGTAAACCTGTACTGCAAAGTGAAAGGCGTCACAGGATTACCAATTTCCCCTGGAATTCCTTCAGAGTTTGTTACAACATGGTTTCCACAGGATCCTGATGTGTTACTCCCATCTGCGCTGTAGGAACAATTATCTGCCATCAGAAAAATCTGGCCCTTTGTTTCCCTATTGAGTGAAGTATCTCTTTTTTAACTCATTCTTGGCCTATGGGTTTCAATGGCTGGGCCAGCATTTGTTGCCGGTCCCTAATTGCCCTTGAGAAGGTGGTGGTGAGCTGCCTTCTTAAACTGTTGCAGTCCATGTGCTGTGGGTAGACACAGAATGCTCTTAGGAGGGAATTCCAGGATTTTGACCCAACAACAGTGAAGGAACGGCGATATATTTCCAAGATGGTGAGTGGATTGGAGGGAAACTTGCAGGTGGTGGTGTTCCCTTGTATCTGCTGCCCTCATCCTTCTGGAGGGAAGTGGTCATGGGTTTTGAAGGTGCTGCCTAAAGAAACTTGGTGAATTTTTGAAGTGCATCTTGTATACAGTACACACTGCTGCTACTGAGCATCAGTGGCGAAGGACATTGATGTTTGTAGATGTGATGCCAATCAAACCGGCTACATTGTCCGGGATGATGTCAAGCTCCCTGAGTATTGTTGGGGCTGCACTCATTTGGGCAAGTGGGGAGTATTCCATCACACTCCTGACTTGTGCCTTGTCAATGGTGGACAAGCTTTGTGAAGTCAGAAGGTCTGTTATTTGGTGCAGGATTCTTAGCCTGTGACCTGCTGTTGTAGCCATAGTACCTATATGGCTACTTCAGCTAAATACCTGGTCAATGGTGGCCCCCAGGATGTCGATAGAGTGGGTTTCAGTTGTGGTATCACCAGTGAATGCCAAGGGACAGGGGTTCGATTATCTCTTGCTGGAGATGATCATTGCCTGGCATTTGTGTGGTGCAAATATTACTTGCCACTTGCCAGCCCAGACCTGGATATTGTTCAGATCTTTTTGCATTTGAGCATGGACTGCTTCAGTATCTGAGGAGTTGTGAATGGTGCTGAACACTGTATAGTCATTGGTGAATATTCCTACTTCTGACCTTATGATGGAGGGAAGGTCATTGATGAAGCAGCTGAAGATGATTGGGCTGAGGACACTACCCTGAGGAACTCCTGGAGCTGAGATGATTGACCTCCAACAACCACAACCATCTAGTTGTGTGTCAGGTATGTTCCCCCAATTCCCATTGACTTGAGTTTCGCTTGGTGCACCTAGTCAAATGTGACCTTGGTGTTAAGGGAAATCATTCTCTCCTCACCTCTGAAATTCAGCTCTTTAGTCCATGATTGAACAATTGGCACAATACCTCCACTGTTGTGTCTATAGTGCTTTGGTTTATTTGCTGAAATCATTCCAATACTTTGTGTGTCCATGTAATTCTGAAAACAACGTGCACCTGTATAGTACCTTTAGCTAAAGAATGCTTTGCAGGAGTGCAATCAGACAGAAATTAGCCATTATTCCAAAGGAAGCAATAGAATTGGGGGTTAAAGCTTGGCTAGGGTGGCCCTCAGGATGTTTTATTGTTGATTTGTCCTCAGACTGTCGCTAAGGTCACAGTTTATTGCTTGAGAAGGTCAAAGCAGAAGGCAACTAGGGCCAAACATATAGTGTTGGAAATGGAGTCTCAAGCAGGCCAAGTAAGGTAGGGCTGATAGGATTCATTCTTTGATGGATGTTGAGAGAGCCAGTTGGGATTTTAGGGCAATGTGTTAGCTTTTACAGTCATTTTCCAGTGCTATCCCATAAACTATGATAGACGTCAACACCTTAACATGGGTTGCTATTCCAATACAATTGTAACAAAACTAATGCACCTTATGAGACTGCAATGTGACTTCTGATATTTACATTGCAACTTTTAATGTTTCTAAAGATCCTGGTGTGCTTCAGGGTGGCACAAATAGCATAATTAGACTAGAAGTGGCAGCAAACAGCAAAGAAGGCATGGAGACATATAGCTAAAAGCCTGCTCAAAGAGGCAAGTTTTAAAGAGTATCTTGATTGTGAACTGCTTTGGAATGAGCTGTTGTCATGAACAAAGTATACATAAATATGTAAAGGCATTTTATGTTTAATCTTTCTTGGAGGATGTAAGTGTTGTGAGATTGTGAGAAAATATAATTATTTCAAGTTTTGTGGAAATACCTGGAGTGGTGTCTTTAAAAAAAAGGTCATTATGAATAAAGGAGGGTTTTTTTTATATCAAGGCTTTCTAGAAATCAGATTGATATCTGTTTGCTTTTCTGGGATCCCTGCTGTGGCTGTTTGAACAGAGATTAGTTTGGAGAGATTCTTGTTCTTATCTGGTCTTCATTTGATGGACAAAGAAACCTGTGAGAAAGAGTTACCTAGCTGATCTCTTCCATTTCTGAAAATGAAACCATTTTGTTGAGTTCAGGGTGAAACTATTTGTTCTTCTGAAAGATTGGCTGCAGGAATTTCTCATATTGAACTTTTTGAGCAAGCTGTGTCTGCTAAGACTCTAGAGACAACTGTGCATGATTAATGCCTAGACCTACATGCAAGAACACTGCAGCAATAAACTTTAGAACATTCTATGCTTTATCATTTTACCTTCAAAAAGAACTCATTGGCCAAAATTATTTTTAGAAGCTAATCTTCAGGGAAATCCATTTATTTTTTCATTCCCTAAAGTGTGTGGGTCTTCATATGTCTGTGTTGTGGGGTTGTTGAGACAGATAAACATTTATACTTCTCAATTACTGGTTGTGTACGTAAATCAATTATTGTATCTTTAGTTAGTACATTTTGTTTTCATAATTGCAATGCTTACATGGGGAGGTGGTGGTATAGTGGTAATGACAATGAAGTAACCATCTGAAACCCCAGGCTGATATTCTGGCGACATAGTTTCAAATCCCACCATGCCAGGTAGTGAACTTGGAAAGGTCTGCTGGTGCAATGGTAATGTCCCCATCTCTGTACAAGGAGGCCTGGGTTCAAATCCCTACCAGCTCCAGAGGTATTAGAGCGTAGAAATAGGTCCACCATGTCTATGCCAACCAACAAACACCAAGCTACACTAATCTCATTTACCTGTGACAAAAACAATAATTATTGGTAAAGCTCAGCAGATCTGGCGGCATCTTTGGAGAGACATCAGAGTTAACGTTTCAGGTATAGTGACCCTTCCTCAGAATGTCCTCACTGGACCCAAAATGTTAACTCTAATTTCTCTCCACAGATGCTGCCAAACCTGCTGAGCTTTTCCAGCAATTTCTGTTTTCGTTTCTGATTTCCAACAACCACAGTTATTTTGGTTCCCATTTACCTGCACTTGGTCCTTAGCCTGCTTTTCTGATGAAATTCCAATGAAAAGGTATCTACACTTTTAACTACCAGTCCAAACTTTCCATGACAAGATTTATTTGAGATTAATGTCAAAATGCAGCAACTTCATGCAGGGAGGTTGATAGCTTGTTGTCATGTTTGCAAGACTAATGATGAAATAGTGTGAATTGTACAGTGATTTACTGGGATGTAGCATTGCTGACAAGGCTAGCTTTTGTTGCCTGTCCCTAATGAGTAATAACATCTCAGAATAAGTTAATTATAAAACCTCTGAATCAATGATTGTGTTTATTAGGAAACCTGATGAATGGATTTTTTGATTTGAACCCTGATATGGATAAGATATTTCGTTGGTCATCGTGGTTACTGTTGAAATGATTTTTATTTGGTGTTGTAGGAATGTAATGGAGTAGTGGGTCTCCAGTGACAGTGCCCTCCTCCTGTTTTGGTTGTAACAATATAGATGAAAGAAGTTTGAGGCAATAAGGCAGAGAGATTTAGGAAAAGAATCTGAATCCAGGTCAGGCAATGCATTTCCTCACTGCCCTTGGGGTGATGGGTGATCTGTCCTTCTCAGACATGTTTGGTAATGATTCACCTATTTGGTTACTTTGCAGGATTCCCTGATCACATGGTCCATGGCGAATTCCGGCGTCGGTTCCAGGCTCTGGCTCCAGCTATCGTGAAGAAATATGGAGCAGCATTTATGGTCACAGATGAGAGGAAGGTATGTGCAAAGCAAAACCAGTGTCGATGAGTGAAGGAGTCACAAGGATGAGCCATGCACATTTCATATCATTCTATTGCTTCAAATACCCTTGAAAGGCAGGAAGGTTTGAGATGGGGGCCTAGTGGGGAGTGAATTCTGTTCTGAAAATTTAAGGACAATAAAACCCAGGAACAACTTATTGAAGTTTTAGTCTTCTGCATTAGCCAACCCATCTTCCAATGTGCTTAGAATGCTACTGAAGATTGCACCTCAATGATTCAGATTATTCCAGGCATTTGTCTTCAGTTGTTTCATTGGAAATTAATCATTTACTAGTGTACAAATTTTCATCTGTTATCTGACCTAAATTTGTTACTGTGCTCATTTATACTTCTCATTCCCTTTTCCTGGTACACTGCTTTACTTCAAATGATAGAAAGGACTCTAAATAAAGTAGGCATTAAATACAATATGTTCTTTACTGTAATTGTCAACCCTTTCATGTTATGCAAGCAATTATAATGTGACGTAGCTATCGATATGCCTTTATTTGAAAGTGGATGTTCATGAATAAGGCTTACTAATTAAGGTACACATTTGCAAAAATCTACCCACTACCTTCACTGAGTCAAAACAGGAAAGAAACAGCCAGATAAAAGATAGGACTCAAAAACAGAAAATGCTGGAAAAGCTCAGCAAGTTTGGCAACATCTGTGGAAAGAAATCAGAGTTAACGGCTCGGGTCCTTCCTCGGAATCCTTCTGAGTTCATCTCCATAATTTCTCTTTTCAGATGCTGCCAGACCTGCTGAGCATTTCCAGGATTTTCTGTTTTTGTTCCTGATTTCCAGTATCTACAGTTCTTTTTGGATTTTGACAACATAGGACTGTTAACAGAAACAGGTAATCTGTTTGGATTCGGGATCAGTGAATGTGAACATCAAATTCTAATCCAAACCCTTGCCCAAACTTATAGGAACTTTAACCTCCTCCTAAGCTTTTCAGCAGGTGTTAGAATCCAAACCACAGAAAGTGAAGCATTAAATGATAAACTGTTCACACAACCTTTTGCTCACGGGGCTGTGTTACAGGACTGTAGTTAGACCAGTGTTTTATAACCTGGATATAGCCTCGGTTTTGAAGGTAAGTAGAGAAGAAATACAACATTGGTGCAGGACAGCTAGTCAGTGACAGGAGTGTGACTCACATTTTGAGGTCAGCTGGAAAATAATTTTTCTCATCGCTGATTTGCAAAGAACCCCAAGCATGAAGATCCCGTGATCTCTGTGATGTGGCTTTTGCCTTACACAACCCTAGTTTGTCTATGGTTTCAACTCAATCTGATCATCAAGGGTCCAGCAATGTTAATATCAGCAAATGACATAACAGCCAATCACATTGAAGTATTCTCATACACAGCAAACCAAGGAGTAAATGCAGTGATTAATTATCACTTTTTTTCAGTGAGGTTTACAAAATTGAGATCACAACATACGTGTTAGAAGTGAGATATTATAAACAAACTTTGAAACATGTTATTTCATCAAAGGATCTTGGAACTGTTTATAAGAATACAAAAATTTAACATTACACAAATATTAAATTGTTTCTTTGTGACCAGAGAAGTTCTTCAGAAGTGGTTATAATTTAGTACACTGCATGCCCGGTTACACTTCGTTAACATGGTCCAACATTTGTAATGAAAAACACTTCATCTTTTGATTTGCTGATTTACAGCCTTATGGATTCAACACTGAGTTCAATAATTTGTGATCTTTGCCCACGTTTTGTTTCTTCATTCTTTTCCAATTTTCAGTGTGCTCTCTCGTTTTTGCCTTGGGACAGCAGCAAATCTTTATTCTGCCTGCTATACCTCTTCTGTGGATAGGTCTTGTGTTTCATTACTCGTCACTTTATCTCTTCCTACAGTTGTGCACCAACAATTCTTTTCTCATTTGATCTCTTCTGTCTTCCTAACAATCTATCACTGATCTTCCTTTCTTGTTCTGTTTGCTACCCACCCTCTGTTCATTTGATTAAAACCCATTACATTCCTAACGTTACTCAGTTCTGATCACAGGTTATTGATCTGAGATTGTCTTTCCATCTGCAATAGACACTGTCTATTTGCTACATATTTCTAGCATTTTATACTTTTATTTTAGATTTCCAGCATGTGCATCTTTTTCCTTTTGTAACTTTTTCAGTGTTTTTTAATGGTGATAGACTGGCATAAAAGGGGGAGTTCTCAGCAGTTCGGTGATTTCTAGTTGATTGTAGTTTACAGGGATATCAGCAGCACACCTATGAAGAAGACTAGAATCACCGACAACAACTTTTGCGTTTCCACATTTAAGTGAGCATGTGTGGACTCCAGAAGTAGCTGTCAGTTTTAGGCTAGTATTGATGATGAAGGTGATCCTTTATGCCATTGTTACAACTACAAACTCTGGGCCTCAGGGCTGAATCATTGTGGCAGCTGAGATGTTCCACCTTTGGACCAGTTGATGTGCTGCCTCTCCCCTAACTGAGCTGCTGGCTCATTCAGAAGTTGGAATTGGCCACTGCTGAGACTGCAAATGGAAGGGAGGGTTCCTTCATAGTGAGGTGTGTCAAAGGCAAGGTATGTTTCCCTTACAGAGCCAGCATTGAGCCAATAGACCTCAGCAATCAGGGTGGCATGTACTGGTACACACCATAAATGATGCCTATTGCCCTCAATCATGGAATTCACTGGGAATCATTGAGTCATACAGCACAGAAACAGAACTTTCAGTCCAACCAGTCCGTGCCAACCATAATCACAAACTAAACTAGTCCCACCTGCCTGCACTTAGCCCACATCCCTGCAAACATTTCTTATACATGTACTTACCAAAATGTCTTTTAATGTTATAACTGTTCCTATATCCACCACTTTCTCTGGAAGTTAATTCCACACATGAACCACTCTCTGTGTAAAATAAAATTGCCCCTCATGTCTTTTTTAAATCTTTCTCCTCTCCCCTTAAAAAAATCCCCAAACCTAGGGAAAAGAGACCTACCATTCACTTTATAAACTGTAAAGTCTACCAGGTGGTGTCCTATTTATTGAAGGCTTTTTTTAATTCGTTCATGAGATGAGGGCCTTGCTAGCAAGGCCACCATTATCTGGCCCACCCCTAATTGCCCAGAGGGCGGTTAGGAGTCAACCACATTGCCGTAGGCCTGACCAGGTAAGGGAGGCCACTTTCACAACGTAAAGGCCATTAGTGAACCTTTATAGAATCCCTACAGTGTGGAAACAGGCTCTTCGGCCCAACAAGTCCACACTGAACTTCAAAGCATTCCACCCAGACCCGTCCCCCTATGACCCACCTAATATACGCCCTCTACCTCCCTGAACACTGTGGGCAATTTAGCATGGCCAATCTACCTAACCTGCACATCTTTGGACTGTGGGAGGAAACCGGAGCACCCGGAGGAAACCCACGCAGACCCGGGGAGAATTTACAAACTCCACACAGACAGTCGCCCGAGGTTGGAATTGAACCCGGGTCTCTGGAGCTGTGAGGCAACAGTGCTAACCACTGTGCCACCGTGCCGCCCCAAACCAGATTGGTAATCACAACAATTGGCCAAATGGTCTGCAACAATTTACAACATGGTCACCATTAGTTTAGCGTTTAATTCCAGGTTTTCAATTTTCACCATCTGCCCTGGTGAGGTTTGAACCCATGTCCCCAGCACATTGGTCTGGGGTTTCTGGATTACTATTATCAGTGACATTACTACCATTCTGCCATTCCCCCCAGTTTGATGAAGGGACACGAAGAAAGCTGTTAAGGAGGGAATTTCAGGGTTTTATCCCTGTCATAAGTGAAGGAATGGTGTTATATTTCCAAATCAAGATGGTGTGTGGCTTGGAGGGGAACTGTATGTGGCAGTGTTCCATGTATCTGCTGCTTTTCTCCTTTTAGCTGGTTTACATAGGAGGTTTGGCAGAAAGGAATGGTTGGGGCCAGGCAGAGAAAGTTCACAGTCTGAATAGATATTCCTAATGACAACAAAGGACAGAACCACTGGACCAGCTCACTGCCTCATCTCCTTCCATCTCTCACTCCCTTTGATTCTTTCTCTCACTTGCTGCTACTTCTAAGTGTCTCTTTGATCTGTCAGCAATCAAATTGCTCTCCCCCGGCTGTTCACCTCTAATCACATGAAGGGGACTCAAAGGAAGTGAAAGACATCTGCTGGACTGAAAGAGGAAAGTATCAGAGCGATAAGAGAAACCAAACAGAGAGGCTCTTCATTAGCAGCTGAACAAGTTCAAAGGAAACAGAGTGATGTCAAACTGCCAACAACAGTGGATGATCTTTTCTATCCAAAAGATTTACCTGTTCAGAGAGAATAAAGATCTTCTGTCATGAGATCCCTCCTTTTTGCTCAGCTAGTGGTTTGTTTCTGAGTTGAAGACATAAACAAAGGTAACCTCCCACCGCCCAACATTCCAGCAGAAAGGAAGTTGACATCCTTCTGTTAAACTGACGATGGATCAGTCTGCCCAGCTGAAAGTCTAAATCCCAGTGGCACTATTTGAAGAAGGCCAGCTCACTTGTTACTGTGTCTGGTACATTTCGCACTGACAGATATGACAAACTGGCTGTTTTATTTCATTGCTATTTGTGTGAACTTCTTCATAAAATGTGACTTCTTTGTTTAACTGTGTAATAAAAGTCAAGGGTTCCAAAAGATAATGTGCGAACCACTGTGAAATGGTCCAATAATATGGTACAGTAATATGGCTGTATAATTAAATAATTACGGATAGCCACTTATATTGTAATGGGTAACTAAGAATACATGGGACAGTATGAAAGCAAAGTGCAAAACCTTATGGTACGAGGTATTGTGCTATAAATGTTTCTGAACAAGGGTCCAGACCTGAAATGTCAGCCTTCCTGCTCCTCTGATGCTGCTTGGCCTGCTGTGTTCATCCAGCCTCACACCTTGTTATCTCAGATTCTCCAGCATCGGCAGTTCCTATTATCACCTTGTACCATTAGGTTTTGCTTATGGCTTATTTGGGACAGTTTTGTCATTTGTTGAGTGTTTGGCAAATGAGGATATCTTTTTTGGGTTTGTGATATTTTTAGAATCGTCATTCTTTCTGGGGAAGAGAGGTTGAAATTTGTCAGCCTTTTGCCCAGCTTTTCGTTTACTGTTTCAAGTGAGAGCTGTTCAAGCTTCTGTCTGGGGCACATGCTGTTTGTGCAAACAATACACTTTGTATAGAATTATCAAGGGCAGAGTGATCTTACCTAGTTTCGATCTTTAGGGAGTTGGGGATGTCAGAAGCTCAGGTTTTTGATTTGGATTTTCACTCCTCCTTCATTCAGGCTGGATGGAGATGGCACATGTTGTGTTATACAGAGGACCTCATTTGAGGCAGTCTGGCTGGACCAGAGGGTCATTTCATGACCATTATTGTTCACGCGCTCAGCTTTTCTGAGCTTTGTGGGTTAACACTTCCGAGACTCATTAAAATAACATCAATAAGAACCATAGAATTCCTATAGTATGGAAGCAGGCCATTTGGCCCATGGAGTCTGCACCGACCTTCCGAACAGCATCCCACCTAGATCCACCCCATCCCTGTAACCCTGCATTTCCCATGGCTAACCCACCTTGACACTATAGCCGTTAGCACGGCCACTCCACCTACCCTGCACATCTTCGGACTGTGGGAAGAAACCAGAGGACCCGGAGGAAACTCACGCAGACATGGGGAGAACGTGCAAACTCCACACAGACAGTCACTTGAGTTTGGAATTGAACCTGGGTCCCTAGTGCTGTGAGCCACTGTGCCGCTCCATGGTAAATTATGCTGAATGAAACTTCTGACAGGATATCATCACTGCATCAGTTTTTACCTCTGTGCTTGACTCAATTCCAACATGAAATTGCTGAATACATGGTCTATATTACATCACAGAAACAGTCCATTTAGCCCAACAGGCTCATTGTGGTATTTCTTTGCTCCACTTGAGTCTCATAGGGGTCTTGTTATGCAGTGGACCCTATCTCTGGACCAGGAAGCCTGGGTTCAAGTCCCTCGCACTAGAGGTGCATCATAACATCTCTGAACAGGTTGGTTGGAAAATATCTCCATCCTTCTGCATCTATGTGTATTAAAACATTCTCCTCTGCTTTTCTCCTTCACATGTTTGCCTAGTTTACTCTTCAATGTAGCTATGTGATTCACCTCAACTAACTACTCCTTATGATAATGACTTCCATGAGCTTGCCACACTCTCTGGATCTATTAGCAACTGTCTGGTTTTATCTGCAACTAGAGAGACCTTTGGGTGGTGGAACATTTGTATGTATAGTAAAATCACTTCAGCAATAATGTGAAGAGTTGATTAAAAGAGAGATTTCCCATTTATGCTTGTCCAGAGACCCCACCCTAAAATACTTGCCAAACAAAGAATTCCTAGTTGAAGTGCAGTTCCTGGTGTAATGTAAGCAAATGGGCACAGTGGAGCTCAGTGAGGCTTGAGATCAGCACTGAGATGGATGAGCTGATTTTTGTGCTGTTGCTTCAGGGGTGAATTTTGCCAGGACTCCAGGCAAATTCCCCTGTTGCACTTTGAATAGCACCATGAAAACTTTCTCGCAATGTCCAACTCAGGAGGAAGAGAGGCTTCAACATCACATCTTCTCTGAAAGCCCACCTCTCCAAAATGATTGTGTTCCCTGTGTTCATGTTTGTGTCTCACCTCAGAGAACAGAACTTGAACAGACAATCATCTCATTGAAAGTTGGACACTGTGCATGGCACCCAGCTGTGTCCTATTTTTAGGTTACATTATGCGGGATAGTAAGTTGCGGTCTTATTTTTTTACTAACTGTGGCAAAATATTTGTCTGTTAAATGTAAGTTTCCAGTAAGTCGTTGATTGGCTGATTTATTTTCCAGGCTATGGAAGAATTGCTTACCTTGCTGGATTTGGAGAAACACAGCTTTTTTATGGGTCGGAGTCGGGTATGTATAACCCAGGCTGATGTTTATCAGCATAGCTGAAGAATTACAGTTAAAAATCACATGTGAAACAAAGGCTGAAGATGCGTCAGGTTGAATTTTGCCTTTACTGTTGGAACTCAGTTGGCAATTTTGCAAGAGAAAGGAGGAACTATCATCTGATAATTATATTGTTCTGGATATTGTGCATAGGGGTAAATTGAAGGCACTTGTCGCTGATCTCGAAGAAAGATCTTAGAAATCTATCTGACACTATCAAATTAGTGATCCTGTTGGGAGTAATTTCCCAATGTGGAGTTCATCCTGGTTCTTGAACATCCATCAACCGTCATGTCCTAAGAATTCTCACACAGCCAACCAGCGAATAAAATGCATTGATTAACTTCCACTTTTTAATCATTTTAACGAGAGTGAAATAAAGTTTGGGATATATGATGAAGAATATAAGAACATAAAGAGTAATAGGGGTTTGTAATCATCTTAACTTCATCATCCTGAATTATCATCATATCCCTAATATTCTTAATACTCATATATCTTTCAATATCCCTCTTGAATATACCCAATGACTTTTTGTTTGAATTGCCCTTGAGAAGGTGGTGGTGAGCTGCCTTCTCGAACCTCTGCAGTCTGTGTGCTGTATGTTGACCCACAATGTTGTTAGGGAGGGAGCATCCACAGTATTTTTTATGCTTTCAAAAGATGTGAGCATTGCTGGGGCAAAGCCAGCATTTGTTCTCCATCCCTAATTTCCTGGGTTAAGTGGCGGTGAGCCAATTTCTTAGAATGCTGCAGTCCTCAAAGTGCAGGGACATCCAAACTATGCTGTTACGAACAGAGTTATAGGATTTTAATCCAGTGATAGTTCCAAGAGAAGATAACATGTGGCCTGGAGAGAAACCTATTGGTGCTTGTGCTGCCTTTGTCTTTCTCAGCGGGATGGACAGAAAATTCCAAAGATCCACAACCCTTTGTGTTAAAACAGTCCTCCTTTCAGCCCTAAATAGTCAAGCCCTTATGCTAGTAAGTCAAATTTCATAAGCAAACTTACATATATAATGAGAATGCCGTGATTTGTTTTGATATACTGGAAAATAATTGACATTTTGCAATTATAAAATTAGATTTTTCAGGGCTAGAGAGGTTATTCATTAATATTTCATTAATATTCTGAACTTGGTACATCATTAAAAACCTCATCATTTTTTCGGGGATTTTACAGTGCGTTAAATAGTGTGAAAGTGCATGTTAAAATCAATTCACGTGATTTCAAAAGAATTAAATCGGTGGGGTTTTCAACAGCGCAGCCATTGGGTTTCTGCTTGGAACTGCAACATTGATGACAACAAAGATTGCCATCAGTTTTCCAATTGTAATGAAGGTGAGGCTGACGGTTACACTTTGAAACCATGGCCAATAAAACAAAGGAAGAAGGAACCAAATGTTGGGAATTTTAATTGGGAGGCTCTTTCTGATTGGCAACCATTAAGCATTCCACTGCATAGTTTGTGAGCAGTTGACCATTCAGATATTTCTAAGTCACTAGCTGGTCCCCCGCGGTATTGCTGTCAAGACTAATTTGATTTTGTTTTCAATGTAAGGGGTAGGAAATACTGGAACTGATATTTTGGAGAGGGAGAGGCAGGTGACGAACAGAAAGAAAATAGGGGAGTAGAATGCAAGAGAAAGAAGACAAGGTTGGATTTGTGAGGAAGAGCAGAGAACTGGAGAAGGATTGGGTGGGTGTAGGATAGGCATGCGAGGAGAGCAGGGGTGGGAGAAATTGGAAGAGTGTAGTGGATGGGAATGAGGGAGAGAAGAATAGAGGAGAGGAGAAATTTAATATTCCGCATCTCTGTCTGGGTTCGCCTCTCAGTTGATGAGGTGAATGGTATTATTGATTGGTTAGATAATGTAACGTGGTTGGAGTACACTGAACAATGGAAATGAAAGTTAGGAGAGGTGTAAGATAGAGTGATGGTTCACTCATTCTACACATATTGCAAACTTGCCCAATATCAAGGTGCTTCCCTTAACATTTAAGAGACTGGATTAAATGGATTATCTGCTTGACAACTTACAATATCTTGTAAAACAATTGGCCGTAAACAGCCCTGCCGGGTCTTCACCATCCCCCCAGACCTCCCCCTCAGAACGGTCAGTCCTCAGTAAAGGACTCACTTTTGTCCCCCTCCACCCTAACATCAACGAATACCACTCTCGCTTGGACGTTGAACAGTTTTTCCGCTGCCTCCGCCTCCGCGCTTACTTCTTTAACTATGAGCCTAACCCTCCCTCTACTGACCCCTTCTCCCACCTCCAACACACCCCCTCCTCCTGGACACCACCCCAAGGCCTACTACCCTCCCTCGACCTCTTCATCTCCAACTGCCGTCGAGACATCAATCACCTCAACCTCTCCACCCCTCTCACCCACTTCAACCTCTCCCCCGCAGAATGTGCAGCCCTCCACTCCCTCTGCTCCAATCCCAACCTCACCATAAAACCCACGGACAAGGGAGGTGCAGTTGTAGTATGGCGCACTGACCTCTACATCGCCGAGGCCAGACGCCAACTCTCCGACACCTCCTCCTACCACCCCCTTGATCATGACCCCACCCCTGACCACCAAAACATCATCTCCCAAACCATCCACAATCTCATCACTTCAGGTGACCTCCCACCCACAGCCTCCAACCTCATCGTTCCCCAAGTCCGCACTGCCCGCTTCTATCTCCTTCCTCCACAAACCTGACTGGCCTGGTCGACCCATTGTCTCTGCCTGCTTCTGCCCCACCAAATTTATCTCTACTTATCTCGACTCCATTTTCTCCCCCTTGGTCCAGCAACTTCCCACCTACATCCGTGACACCACCCACGCCCTCCACCTCCTCCAAAACTTCCAATTCCCTGGTCCCCAACACCTCATCTTTACCATGGACGTCCAGTCCCTATACACCTGCATTCCCAACGCTGATGGCCTAAAGGCCCTCCGCTTCTTCCTGTCCCGCTGGCCCGACCAGTCCCCCTCTACTGACACTCTCATCCGCTTAGCTGAACTCATCCTCACCCTTAACAACTTCACTTTCAACTCCTCCCACTTCCTACAGACAAAGGGGGTGGCCATGGGTACCCACATGGGCCCAAGCTATGCCTGCCTCTTTGTAGGTTACGTGGAACAATCCCTCTTCCGTAGCTACACTGGCCCTAAACCCCACCTCTTCCTCCGTTACATTGATGACTGTATCGGCGCCGCCTCATGCTCCCACGAGGAGCTCGAACAGTTCATCCCACTTCACCAACACCTTCCACCCCAACATTAAGTTCACCTGGACCATTTCTGATATCTCTTTCTCCTTCCTGGACCTCTCTGTTTCCATCTCTGGCAACCACCTGGAAACCGATATCCATTTCAAGCCCACCAACTCCCACAGCTACCTAGAATACACCTCCTCCCACCCACCTTCCTGCAAAAATGCCATCCCCTATTCCCAATTCCTTCGCCTCTGCCGCATCTGCTCCCAGGATGAGGCATTCTACTCCCATACATCTCAGATGTCCTCGTTTTACAAGGACCGTAACGTCCCCCCCTCAGTGGTCGAGAACGCCCTCGACCAGTCTCCTGCATTTCCCTCAACTCATCCCTCACACCTCCTCCCCGCAATAACAACCAAAACAGAATCCTCTCGTCCTCACGTACCACCCTACCAACCTCCGGATCCAACGCATCATCCTCCGACACTTCCGCCATCTGCAATCCAACCCCACCACCAAAGACATTTTTCCCTCCCCACCCTTAACTGCTTTCCGGAGGGATCACTCTCTCCGTGACTCCCTTGTCCACTCCACACTCCCCTCCAGCCCCACCTCACCCGGCACTTTCCCCTGCAACCGCAGGAAGTGCTACACCTGCCCCCATACCTCCTCCCTCACCCCCATCCCAGGCCCCAAGAAGACCTTCCACATCAAGCAGATGTTCACCTTCACATCTGCTAATGTGGTATGCTCTATCTGCTGTTCCAGATGTGGCATCCTCAACATCGGGGAAACCAAGTGGAGGCTTGGGGACCGCTTTGCGGAAGACCTACGCTCGGTTCGCACTAAACAACTGCACCTCCCAGTTGCGAACCATTTCAACTCCCCCTCCCATTCCTTAGCTGACATGTCCATCCTGGGCCTCCTGCAGTGCCATAACGATGCCACCCAAAGGTTGCAGGAACAGCACCTCATATTTCGTTTGGGAACCCTGCAGCCCAAAGATATCAATGTGGATTTCGTAAGCTTCAAAATCTCCCCTCCCCCAACCGCATCCTACAACCAGCCCAGCTTGTCCCCGCCTCCCTAACCTGCCCTTCCTCCAACCTATCCCCACCTCCCACCTCAAGCCCCACCCCCATCTGCTACCTACTAGCCTCACCCTGCCCCCTTGACCTGTCCGTCCTCCCAGGACTGACCTATCCCCTCCCTAACTTCCCACCTACACTCACCTTTACTGGCTCCATCCCTGCCATTTTCACCTGTCTGTCTCCTCTCCACCTATCTTCTCCTTTATCCATCTTCTATCTGCGTCCCCCTCTCTCCCTATTTATTTCAGAACCTCCTTCCCTTCCCCCATTTCTGAAGAAGGGTCTAGGCCCGAAACGTCAGCTTTCCTACTCCTCTGATGCTGCCTGGCCTGCTGTGTTCATCCAACTGTACACCTTGTTATCTCTGGCCATAAACTGTGGTCATTCTGGAATGAATTTAGGAAATACTTCTACATGCAAAGGACGAAAGAAAATGCAAATAACTCTTGCTGCAAAATTGAAAGTTAATTTTAAAACTGAGACCGATAGGATTTTGTTAATCAAAGGTATTCTGGGATTTGTGATGAAAGCAGGGACATATACAGGTAGCGGATCAGTCATGACCTCATGGAATGGAAGAAGAGGCTTGAGGAGGCAAATGGCCTCCTCCTGTTCTTGTATCCTTATTAAGTGTGGTTGCAATTGGATTATAGAATCTAAGTTACACCATTTTTTATTCCCTTCATTTCACTTATTCACGACTAATGACAAAAGCTTCTCAGACAGAACCTTCCAAACCATGTTGACGTCCACCTAGAAGGAGAAGGGCTGCAGAAACATGGGACCATCACCACCTGCAAGTTCCCCTCCAAACCACTCACCATCCTGACTTGAAAATATTGCCATTCCTTCATTGGCACTGGGTCAAAACCTTGGAATTCCCTCCCTAATACTACGATAGCACACGGTCTGCAGCGGTTCAAGAAGGCAGCTCACCAACACCTTCTCAAGGGGCAACTAGGGACGGGCAACAAACGCTGGCTCAGCCAGCGACACCCACATCAATGGGTGAATAAAACAAAATGGAAATTCATTTCGAGTACATTGCTCACCCTTAAAGAATTACTTATGAGTAAAAAATAATAGAGAAAAGAAGTTATTCTATCATAGAAATCAAATTTTAATTAAAATGTTTATATTTGAAAAATTATACCATGCGTTAAACCATACCAGTGTAATTAGAATAATCGGTCAGTTCCTTGTTAAGTTTTCATGAATGAATTCAGGAGGGGATTTATCATACATTTGAAATATTTTAGCCTTTTCACTGAATGTATCCAACAGAAATACAGACACAAGTTGCAATTGTCATCACTCGTGACACTTTTGCCAAACTTCTCTGGGAGTAAGTTTCAATCTTGAAGATCAGCTTGTCATATACTCTTCCTGCTGACCTTAGTAACCTTCTGTAGCTGAAAGAGTCTGCTTTGTTCAAATATATAAGTTACAGCACAAAAACAGGCCATTCAGCCCAACTTCTCCATGCTTCACATAAGCCTCTTCCCACCACCTAGTTTTACTCGATCTGTATATTAATCTGCCTCTTGGGTACGCACAGTGCACCCAAAAGTAAACCATATAAGAAATGAATCAGTTCCTCAAAAGAAGTTTACCAATAAATGAATGAAATGGAATGAAATAATTAAGTGATATTTGAATGTGGATTGGTTTCCAGGTCTTCTTCAAAGCTGGGGTTGTTTCCCGCCTGGAGAAACAGCGTGAGAAGCTGATTTGCCGGAACCTGATCTTGCTACAGGCCACGTGTCAGGGATTTCTTGGGCGCCAGCAATTCAAGAAGATGAAGGTAAAGCTCAGTCATTAATAATGGTAATGGCCTCCAATCACATCTCTAATGTATATTCACAGGGGGAAGAAACAGAATGTAAGTTCTAACCATAATCTAATGTAGTTAGACTCCTCTTGCCTGACCTTTCCATTTAAGAATGGTCTGTATTCACTGGTATTGAATAAGTTGATTGTGTTAGCTTTTCTCTTTCTCCAGACCCAGCGTTTAGCTCTTTGTTGTATTCAGAAGAACATTAAGAAATATTTGACGATCCGTCAGTGGCAGTGGTGGCAGATGATATCCAGTATCCGTCCGATGCTCAGCGTTAACTTGGTTGATGAAAAGCTTCGAGTCAAAGAGGCACGTTTGTGTTTATAAATATGTCTTGGCTGTTCAAATCCCCCTCATGCCCTACTTCTTGTTTGTTTTGAAAGAATAAACCTTAGTTCACCCAATAGAACACAGAAATATTGGATATTCTTCCAGAGTGAATCAGTTACAAATTCCTATTAGTGGGAGTTGTGTTTCTAAATATCTACATGAGCAATTGGCAACTGAATTGAATTGAATTAGCTTTATTGTTGTATGTACCCACATGAGTACAGTGAGAAGTTTACAATTCACCACTTAAGGCATCATCTTAGGTACAAAGGTACCTCGATACAGAATCTTCGAATCAATAGAGTAATTTATTTTTCTTTTATCATCATTGTTTTACCATTCTCTGAGAGTTATAGTCAAGTGTCAGAGATTGAAATTACTTCCATATATCACCCATTCACCAGAACTGACCCAATTTTTGAAAATTCATGGAATTATAGAATCCCTACAGTGTGAGAATACAGTGCCATTTGGCCCATCAAGTCCACACTGACCCTCCAAAGAGTATCCCACTCAGACTCACACCCTCATCCAGGCCCACCCCATCCCTGTAACCTTGCATTTCCCATGGCTAACCCACCGAGCTTGTGCAGCTCAGATTTAGGTTTTGAGATTTTATTGTCATGTGCACTCAAGTACAGGAGTAAAGTGAGCTCCCTGGACACTATGGGCAATTCAGCATGGCCAATCCACTTCACCTGCATATCTTTGGAGTGTGGGATGAAACCGGAGCACCCGGAGGAAACCCTGCACAGTCACAGGGGACAGTGTGCAAAATCCACACAGACAGTCTCCTGGGGGTGGAATTGAACACAGGTCCATGGCGCCATGAGGCAGCAGTGCTAGCCACTGTGCCAACCACTGACCTACTGTGCCAAAGGGCCAAAGAAGCTTTTGCTGCATGGTGCTTAAAGCAAAATAATGTCCATTCGGCCCATCGGGTCTATGTCAGTGCTTGTGTTCCATTTCAACCTTCTCCAACCTTCTTCACATCACCCCATTAACATATCATTCAATCCCTTTCTCCCTCATGTGTTTATCCTGCTTTCCCTTAAATCTATGCCATTCACCTCATTTACACCTTGTGTAAGTGAATCCCCCATTCTAGCATTCTCCAAGTGCCCTCTATTGGATCACAAAGTCTGCTGCAAAGAGATAGCAATTTGTTTCATGGAGGGAGCACAACAAAGATTCACCAGACTCGTTCCCGGGATGACAGGACTGTGCTGTGAACAGAGACTTGGCAAACCAGGCCTATATCCTCTTGGGTTTTGAAGAATGATACGTCATCTCATTGCAACTTATGATATACTTAAAGGGAAAGACAAGATAAACGCATGTAAACTCTTTCTTAGGTTGGGGAGTCCAGAACCAGGGAGGCACAGTTTTAAAATTAGGGGGATGCCATTTAGGTCTGATATGAAGCAAAATCATTTCACTCAAAGGGTTGTGAACTTTTGGAACTCTCAACCCCAGAGGACTGTGGAGGCTCAGTCTATGAGTGTGTTTAAGGTTGAGATTGATAGGTTCCTGATTACCAGTGGAATGAAGGAGGATAGGGTGAGGAAAAGGGATTGATTGTTCAGGCATGATCGTGTGGGATGATGGGGCGGGCTTAATGGGCTGAATGGCCTGCTCCGGTTCCTACATTCCATCACCAGATTGATCATCTTTTAGTCAAATAAACGGGCCAAAGACGTTTCTTCTCCTTGCTGCCCATTCAAACCATGCCTTTGTTATAATTCATTCATGCGATATGGGTGTCATTTCTGGGAAGTATTTATTTTCCATCCCTAATTGCCCTTGAGAGGGTGGTGGTGAGCTGCCTTCTTGAACCACTGCAGACCACAAGAGCACGGTCGACACATAATGCTGTTAGAGAGCAAAGTGCAGCATTTTGACGCAGTGACATTGAAAGAATACTTCCAAGTCAGGATGGCTAGTGAGTTGGAGTGAACTTGCAGGTGGTGCTGTTCCCATATATCTCCTGTCCTTGTCCTTCGTTTCAAAGCTGTTTGATGAGTGATTGTAGATGGTACACACTACTGCCATTGTGCACCGGTGATGCAGGGAGTCATTGCTGAAGTTTGTAGATTTGGTGCCAGTCAAGTTAGTTGCTTTGTCCTGGATAGTGTCAAGCTTCTTGAGTGTTGTTGGAGGTGCATCCATTCAGGCATGTGGGGAGTATTCCATCACACTCCTGACTTGTGCCTTGTAGATGGTGAACAGCCTTTGGGAAGTCAGGAGGTAAGTTACTCGCCACAGAATCCCAGCCTTCGACCTGCTCTTGTCGCTTCAAGATTTATATGGCTAGTCCAGTTCAATATCTGGTTAATGGTAAACTCTAGGTTGTTGGTAGTGTGGGATTTAGTGACAGTAACCGCATTGAACGTCAAGGGGTGATGGTTGTATGTCCTGTTGATGGATACGGTCATTCCCTGGTATTTGTGTGGTGCAAATGTTACTTTTATTTGTTTTGACATGGTGTTTTTTACATAACTAGGATGAGGTTAATGCATTGCGACAGAAGTTGGAGAAATCTCAACGGGAACGAAATGAGATCCAAGAAAACACCGATTTACTCGAGGGCAAGGCAAGTTCACTTCTGATTGTTTTATCATTATCAATATTATGACGGTGATGTTTCCACACCTTCTTGTGTTTATTTTGGGTATGATGCTGATGGGCGGTGACCTGTTCTCACTGTATGTTCTGATCTTCCTTCATCCCACTGTAGTTTTCATAATGAATCACCAGTTACAACGGCAGGACAGGCCAGAAATGTATGCTACCTTTGTAATCCAAATTGCTGATGTGGATCTGGAGGTTTGGAAAGTTTTGATGTGTTTCTGACTTATAACAAACTGAGACAAAGTGCCCAAGTAGCCAAACAGGATTTAACATAGAAAGATGTTGTTAGACTCTGGTAATAGCTGAAAGGTTCAAATTGCTGAAGGACAATGAAAAGCCTTCCTGTTTCTATTAATTGAATTGTTTCTTTTAGATTTACATGCAATAGTTGACTATATTTCTTTGAATTAATCAAATGCAAAGGTAACTGTAGATTTTGTACCATCAGTGGCCTGAAAGTGTTAATATTGAGGGGTACCATGAGCTCCATCCACATGAAGCTCTCATATGAACTTGTGAGCAGAATAGCTTAAGGTCTGGAAGGAGTGAGGTTTAAAATCTCATCCTACTTAAGTCTCTGGAACAATGTCTATCATGTCATCACAACATATAGCAGGTTACCAACATGCAATAAACAAATTGTATTAACTAGAAGGAATTCTACTAGTTAGACCGGCAATACTTTCTCTCTAATACACAGACCCTGTTGCTTCCTTTGTTTAGACAGGATGGTGGAAATCACGCTTATCATGCACTGCAGCACCTGCTACACAGTGATTTGGCAAACAATCACCCAGAGTTATCACTAATCATATAAGTGTGGAAGCAGGCTATTTGGCCCATTGAGTCCACATTGACTCTCTGAAGAGCATCCCAGCCAGACCCACCCCCTACCCTATCCCTGCATATCCCACCTTAGACACTATGGGCAATTTAGCATGGCCAATCCACCTAATCCGCACATCTTTGGACTGTGGGAAGAAACCGGAGCACCCGGAGGAAACCCGCACAGACAAGGGGAGAATGTGCAAACTCCACACAGACAGTCACCTGAGGCTGGAATTGAACCCAGGTCCCTGGCACTTTGAGGCATCAGTGCTAACCACTGTGCCACTCCCTTTATTATCATTTCTCAGTGCATGGACCTCAGAGTCTCCTGTGAGACAGTGAATTCCAAAGCAGGAACACTGGTCACACTGGTCGAGGTGTGTGGAACATTAGGATGGCTGCATGACTGTGTTAGCTTGAAGGGAGTGTTGGTTACCACCATCTGTCAGATAGAGCTGTTTTACTATCTGCTGTCTGCTTTAGCCAAACCTGGCTTTTACTCGCTCTGCATTTGGGAGAAGCACAAGATACAAACATTTCTGGTGGTGTAGTTTGGGTGATGATGTGACAGAATAATTACAGTGCAGAAGGAAGCCATTCAGCCCTTTGTTTCTTCAACTGAGGATTTCATTTCGTGCTGCTCTCCTGCGCGTCCCCACATCCCTGGACATTCTTAGTCACAGAATCACTGAAGTCCTATAGTCATCATTGTCATCGGCAGATTAGGATGACTCTCTTCCACTCTCAGGATGAGTCCATAGGTGGTTGCACAGCCTGATGCGGCTTCCACAGACTCTGCCACTTAGGGCAGAAGGTGGTCATGGGAAGGGGTGGGCGGGCATTGGTGGGGCAGCGTGCTCCTTATGTTGTTTTTGTCTGGTTTCCAAATTTTCCTGATGGCCAGTCTCAAAGCCTTCCTGCATGCTCCTCCTCCACTTTGATGGCCTTGGGCCAGTGATTCCCAGGTGACTGTGGGAATGTCTCACTTCGCCAATGAAGCCTTGAGGGTATCCCTGAAGCACTTCCTCTGTCCACCTGGGCCTCACTTGCCATTTGGTAGCTGGGAGTACAGTGCCTGCATAGGGCGTCTAGTCTAGTCCTATAGTACAGCAACATCTACTGCCTGTATGCAGGTTGCAGCTGGAAATCTTCTCTCCCTGAAAGGTGGCCTTGAAAGGTAAATCTTCTAACAAAACCTACCTTAAAGAATGCATAAATATAGGCCAATCTGAGTCATTTCTAACAAAATTAGGTCGCTCAATCTATTTCTGAGAGAGATTGAAGCCACTGATTTTATTATGGCACTGGCAGCCTGTGACAGGCATTCTATTGGACAAAGTAAATACTATGCCTGTCGGCTCCAAGGGAGATTGCCCATGTTCCACAATAGCGATAGAGTTTGAATTAATTTCATTAGCTGAATTCATTAATTTTCCCTTTACTTGTCACACTCATACGAGATAAAAGTGTCCAAGTAGTCAATCAGGTTTTAAAGCAGAAAGATGTTGGAAGTATCTGGTATTGGCTGAAAAGTTCAGAAAGCTGAAGGACAATGAAAAGCCTTCCTGTTACTGTTAAATAAGATAAGTACTGGTGTGCTGAATTATTTCATTTAGATTTGTACACAATAGTTGGCTATATTAGTTTGAATGAAGCAAACGTAAAAGTAACTGTAGATTTTGTACTGCTATGGACCAGACCAAATCCCCTAAAAATATATTAAGAAGGTAGTCCAGACACTAACGTCTTCTTATTTTAAAGGCAAATGTCAGGTGCTGTGTTTCAGATTGTAATTCAGTTGGTCAAACAGCTGAACGTTAAGCAAAACACAATTTATTCAAACACTATAGTTAAAATACAACAAAAGAAATAGAAATTTGGCATAACAACTTTATTGGAAAGCGTAACAGAACAGTAGATACAGTAACTATTACTATTTAACTGTTCCAATATAGTAACATCCCATAAACACATCCTTGGAAAAAGGCAAATTCAGAAAAGAGATTATCTCACATGCAGTTCTCCAATCCAGGAGGAAAGAACATCAAAAGACAAGTCTGAGAGACAGAGTGTAGCAGCTAGAAGAGATTCACTGCCTTCCAACCCTGCTGAGACCAAAGCAACAACTGCTGAAAGCTAACTAAAATCCTGGATCTGTGGGAGCTTGACCACACCCACTCAGGCTGCTTCTATTGTTCTAACTTTAATAAAATAAACCCAAGGTCTCACATGTTGTTTATCTTCTCATTAACTGCTCAGCACCTGTCCTCCAATCTCTCTTTCTAAAAGAAACCAGGACAAATACACCTCTTAAAGCCATAGCATTGATACAGTGGTTCTGAAGGGTTAATATTAAAAACGTTTCAACTGTGTGGTCTTTTATGTTTCTTATCCTGTCCAAACACCACCACTCCACCATACATGTGCTCACAATATTGTGCATTAATCCTTTGCTTGGGTCCGTTTCTACACCTTGCTGTCTCAGGGGTCCTCCCATTTCAAAGACTCTGCCATTTCCTGGTTTGGTTCAGTTTTGACCATCAGGCTGCGGGGAATTTAAAGCCCACCCATAGAGTTCTTTAGAATCTGTTTTTTACTTTGTGGACATTTTTTTCCTCTTTATTGGACCTAATGTGGAGTAAAACAGGTAGAGGTGTGGCCTGATGGATGTCTCCAAGCCTTGTTAGATCCTGAGAAATCTACAGAAATGATATTTCCTGGAGTGTACAAAATCTCACTGTAAAAGGGGAATCAGAGGTTGACTAAGCTGAAACAAGACTCTGTAGGGTCTTGACCAGGTGGATGTAGAAAGGATGTTTCGTCTTGTGGGAGAATCTAGAACTAGGGATAAGGGAGTGCCCATTTAAAATAGAGATGAGAATTTTCATTTTTCTCTCTCTCATAGGGTTGAGATCTTTGGAATCGCCTTCCTCAAAAGGCAATGGTTGCAGAACCTTTAAATATTTTGAAGGCAGTGGTAGGTAGATCCTTGACGGAAGATTATGGGAGACATGAAGGAATACCGAGTTGAGATTAAAACCAGGTCTTATTGAATGGTGGAGCAGGCCAGAAAGGTTTCATGGCCTACTTTTAGTCTTTGTTCGTATTTTTGTGCGTATCAACCATGTTGGTTTCAATTAAGATTTGGGACCTCTTTTATGAAAAATTACTGAAGGATATGAATTATCTAAATTTGTGATAATTACCACAAACTATAGCCACTCTAACCCGTTAAGCTATGGCCAGCAGGAAGATTCCAAAATCTCAGTGATTCTTGAATCTTTTCAGATCCCAATGATGACCCTGGCTAGTTGGCCAATTAACAGCTCCTCATGTTTCTGATCTACTGGCTTCTGTTGCCAATATCCAGGCCCAAACTGCAGATGGGTAGGACCAGTTACTCATACTTAGCTTGATGCAAAGTGCAGCTTTAACTCAGGAGCAGATTTGCAAACCACTGCGTTCGCAGGTCTGCATTCTGCTGTACCGAGGTACCTCAAGTGAGTGTGTGTTTAGGAGGTTTGATTGTTACATTCCAAGAACAACCAGGAGGCCAAAGCATTAAACAGCAGTTTTATTGTGGAGATGTTTATAGTCTACAAGCAGCAAGGTTAGACTCGGCTATTTCCTGTGCAGAATGGCCAATAGCATCGTCATTTCAACATGTGATCAGGCTGTTAAAGCGACACTCCACTATACAAATACTCAATATAGGGATAGTAAGTAGTAAGGGAGATGGAGAATTAATGAATAAGACCCCCAATTCGCATCAAATATTCCAGCTCTAGCTCCGTCCAGTGCAAATTTAAACCATCGCACAGCGGAAACATTTGTACAAAGCTGTTTCATGTTTGTAGAGGTTTGCAGCTTGATACCTGACACAGAAACTTTATAATTGCTTCCCTGAGCAGCAACAGGCACTGCACTGTGTCCATCATCTCTTCATTTAAAAATGTAAATTATTGAACAGGGCTTGCTCCCACTAGCATCAACAAGGTGTCTATATTGATTGTGATCTCTCTTCTAGTCATACTTTATCTTGTGCAACTCAATATGTGATGTTTGATTCCGGGAGCTACAAAGGAACCTGTGTGGAATTTACAAATAGTTAAGGTGAATGGTAACTATTTTGAC